AAAATTGGATACTCATGTAGGGCATGCTATCTTGGTGAATTCTAGTAATTCCAGAAAGCATCAGCCTATAGAAAATATTATCAGGGAAGCAAAGTCTTTACCAAATGTGACTTCTATTGTGATGTATATTTTTATTGTGGGGACAAGACTCAATGACAGAAACAAAGGTAGCTATGTAAAAACTCAGAAAATTGAGTAAAGAAAGTTTAGACGTAATTCAGAATTAAAAAAAAAAAATAGGATAGCATTGGTTCCTATTTCGTTTCTGCAGTGTCATTGTACCTATGAGATATCCTTCACTGGTATGTCCAGATAACCAGGATACTTAAGAGTTTAAAATTTAGGTGAGTCATTAGATGCACACAAAAACTCAGGGAGATAAGAGTTTGTTGGCATTGTTCTCCCACAGTTTGGTCAAGCCATATTTTGAAGATTCTGATATGTAATGGAGGCAAAAAATAGAAAAGTCCTGATTGGCAAAACTTTTAATTTGTTATAGTTAAGAATACAGAAAAACATTATCAGTAATGTTAAACGAATAAACTTAGCAAGCAGATAAAACTGAAGGGCTAGAAAGTTTTTAAAAACACATTTGATCTGAAATATAATTTTAGAATTATCTAGGGAAATCAAGACGGTAACTTCAAAAACATTCTTAGTGTAACCTACATGATATTAAAACAATTTGTGAAAAGGCGTGAGCAACAGATTTTAAAGCAAAGGGCAGATTATTACATCAAAAAAGCCTCCTTTGGCAGCAAAATGTGCAGCGTGATGTCTCTCATTGTCAAAGGCATTCACTTCACCTCCTCTTTCCAATATCCCTCGGACTAGCTCTAGCACTCCTTCTCTTGATGCTTCCATTAAAGCCGTTCGACCTGTGGACTGGATGAGAAACAGATCAAATGCCGGTTATGCTTGTTATCTTAAATCACTTATTTCGTATAAATATGGTCTAAATCCATTTGGCCTTAGATTCACACTGACATGTTTAGTTCTCTGTATTTTTATTGGTTTCATGTAACAAATAGGAAAAATGAAGTCAGCTGGTCCATGTAGAAGAATTCGAATATCAGAGTCAAGGTCATACCAGATGTCCCTGTGAGAAATCAGGCTATAAAATGCATTTTTTTTTTGTAAAGAAAGTAGAGCAAAAGGGGGGGAAAGAGGGTAAAGTATATGCTAAAATTAGGTTATAGGTGTTTTCTAATGAGGAAAAAAATTGATTTTTTTATCATCTGGAAATGACTATTAAACAATAATAAAACTCAATAAAATTGGCCAAACAAGGAAAGGGGGCAAGATAGATACAGGAAACAGCAGGACTACATGTTTTCTTTCCAAAAAGATACATTTTTATTAGGCATCAGTGGTATCTTTTCTATTTTTCTCTAATGATCTTTTACCATTATGCATAATAAATACCAATTTTCCAAACGTAATTAGGAAATAGACTGTGGAATCATGGCAATATAAAGATAATGAAAATCTATCATCTTAAAACACTGTGAATAGAAATGAATAGTCTATAAGCTAACAGGATAATTTTACCATAATTAAATGCGAAAATTACACTACTGAGCGTCTATAATTAAAAAAAAAGGAATATATATATATATATATATATAATCACAGGAATAGTCATACTGAGTTGATAGCATTTGGATTGGCTCCTTTTTCCAAAAAGGTCAGGCACATATCTTTAACATCATGTGCTTCTTCACACGCTCTAAGGAATATCGGCTTTCCTTCACAGGTAGAGTTGTTGACATCTGCACCATGGTCCAGGGCAATCAATGCACAGCGATAATGCCGCTTAGTAGGCAAAATGCAGTAAAACAAAACACCTGTAGAAAAATAGAATCCCCAGAGAGTATTTAATTAAGTCTCCATATATTTGAACCAGATAGCAAGGAAAAGATAACAATTTTGAAATCCATAATTGGCTAGCTGAAGGTGGTGGAGCAAAGGCATAGTTGCCTTGCTTTTTCCTTCTGTAACCAACTGAAATACCAAGACCGAGAAACAAAAGAAGAAAGTCAACCTTTGATAGAATCAGAAAACAGTTACGACCAAATGCGATCGGACCTGGTTCAGGGGAAGAATCAGAGTGCTGATATGTGAGCCCTTGTCAACCATGGGTTCTTGCAGCCTATACCCCACATGCAGGACTGTGGGTGCTTGTTGGTGGGTTGCTGTGTCCCCTCTGAAACTGCAGAGTGACAAAGGAGGTGGTACTGGATGATAAAATGTGCAGACCAGCCATGTGTAGCGGTCAGTATAGCAGCACTGAGAAGACAAAGTACATGACAGGGGGCTCTACCATTTTGGCAAATCGTTTTGTTCCAATGAATAAAGGAAAATGCTAAATCCCCCGACCCAGAATTTATGACATACAGGTCCTCAATATAATTCATGTCAAAAATGTACTACAGATCAGAGGTATTGTAATCTAGGCAAACAACAGTCAGGCTCCAAACTGACTTTGTAATGACCTTATTCTAAACAGGCTTCATTCAAAGAGGAACAATAAGCAAATAAAAAACTAGCATGTGACCTATTGGGGGGAGGGGGGGTAAGATACTGAAAGAAAGAAACCTGATAGTAAAAGCTAGGCAAAAACTACATACTAGGAAAACTATACCATGTGAAAATTATTGACTGGCCTATTTCTATGATAGCAAAGAAGCTAAATATAACTTTTTTCTTCTAAAATAAAAGTACAAAGATAGGCCAAGACCTTTAAAAGAAGGGCTGCTAGGACAATAGAAGATAAATAGAAGGAAAAGATGAAATTAAGCCCGCTGAAGTTAGGAAAGAAATGGTAGAGGAAACTAAAACCACCAAAGAAAGGGAAGTCAAATTGGAAGCAGGAAAAAGGAAAGCAAAACCATCATCCAGGATGTGTAGGAAAAATGCAAAAGAACTAAGGAGAATGTCACAGATGATGGAAGAGTTGAAATGGTCTAGAGGCAAAGGAGAGTGAACATGTATGTAATTGGTGTTCAATAATAAAACACCAAGTGGAACAGAAAAAAAATGGAGATACAATAGAAAAAAACTTTCTTGAAGTGAAAACCTGAATTTCAAGATTAAAAAAGCATACTTGGGTCTCAGGAAAAATGGATTAAGAAAAATCAATGAGGCATGCGTATGTAAAGCTAGGTAGAGAAGGTGTCCTGTGAGCATCTGGGTAACAGTTCAGATCCTATCTATAAGAAGCAAAAGTCAGTCTGGCCTTGAGATTTTGCTACTGTAATAGTCCATGCTAGAAAATAACTGAAGTGTATCTACAATATCACCTGAGAAAGAAAGTAAGGAGTTTTGTACCTATCAAACTGTTGTTCACATATAAAAGCAATGGACATGTAAGTTTAAGGATGCAAAAAGTTATTGTACTAATCTCTTCTTTCATAGCAAAATATTAATGAATACCATGTAAACTGCTACTTTAATAAACAAAGGTTTAAGTATATATAAAGCTATCAAGCTTGCCATTAACCAAAAACAAGCATCCAACTGTGGGTTTCGGCTTCACAAGTTTGAGGCTCATATTGGGCTCTGTGCTGACAGTGCGGAGCCTACTTTGGATTCTCTCTCTGGCCCTCCGCCACTTGTGCTGTCTGTCTCTCTCAAAATAAGTAATTAAACTTAAAAAAAAAAAAACCCAAAACAAAAAAAACTCAGTTCTCTTCCCAAGAAAAAAGACAGATGTTAACTAGATTTACTGTGGTGATCATTTTGCAATCCATACAAACATCAAATTATGTGTACACCTGAAACTAATATAATGTTTATGTCAAATATACCTCAGTTTTAAAAAATCAGTAAATAATCGGGGTGCCTGGGTGGCTCAGTCGGTTAAGCATCCGACTTTGGATCAGGTCATGAACTTGTGGTTCATGGGTTTGAGCCCTGCATCAGGCTCTGTGCTGACAGCTCAGAGCCTGGAGCTTGCTTGCTTGAGATTCTGTGTCTCCCTGTTTCTCTGCCCCTTCCCCACTCATGCTCTGTCTCGCTCTCAAAAATAAACATTAAAAAAATTTTTTTAAATCAGTAAGTAATAAAAATAGATAAAACTACCATTCCAACAACCAAAAAAAAAAAAAAAAAAAAGAACTAAAAACAGACCATTAACCTTAGAAAATATAATACACACAACAAGAAAAAGAATATATGGACCATATAGGAAAATACATTTATACATATTTATTTATATATTTTATATTAAATATAACTTCATAATATAAAATAAATGAAAGTTCTGAGGCCAAACCTTTGGGGCATCCAGATAAATATAAATTGGGTAAATTCTACCATTAAATAAAAATCACAATTTATATAAAATCAAAATCTAAATATATTTCATATAAACAGACACATCTAAAATAGGGTTACTCAGAACAGTTAAAACAGAAAGATGGTCAAGGACATGGTTGAAAATAGAAAATCAAAGATACAACAAGTCATATGAGGCAAGAGTGGACCAAAACAACAATAAATAGCAATGTGATCTAGAAATACCAGAGGCTGAATTCATTACAAAAGACCCTAAGGCACTTATGAAATAGATATTTTATAATGATGGCATGCATAACTCCCAGTCAAAGTCTATCTGGGCTGACTCTTTAAGCCACAAAGAACATGAATCAAATTCTAAAACTGAAATGGAAATAAAGGGGAAAAAAATGGTGGACAGTCAAATTTGCATACTGCATGTAGGACTGGGTATGCATTCCTATAAATGGGAGAACCAATGGAATGGGGGCTCTAAGGAACTAGTCTAGCTTAACCCTTAAAGGGAAGACAGTATTCCATTCTCCAGAATAGACAGACACTAATTAATCCCCAAGGACATAGGAAAGAGTTTTGGCTTAGAGATTTACCTTTTCCATATTCTGCAAAATTGTTCAAAGTACAGTTTAGCCTAGAGTATGTCCCACATCCTTCTAAAGATCCAGTAAGTATTTTAACCACTTAAATGTTTGCTTATCTTTTAGGAACAATGTCCAGTGAGGCATACATCAATCCCTGGAAAATAGGATGTTAATGACCAAGACTATGCAAGAAGCAAAACAGTTTGACAAGTGAGAGGACAACTAAGGGATGTGCAAGGTGAGCTAGATGTGTTGAACTGGTGAAGACAGGGCATTCACTCAGTGCAGTAAGCCTACCATGGGTTACACAAAATCAAGTCTCTAGGGGGCTGTACTAACAAGGTTATGTGTGCAACAAGATTTATACTTGTCCCAAGTTTTGTTTTCTATCTTTAATTCTTCCTATGTGATTTGTCAGATTATTTTCTCATGCATTCATCTTCCAAAACCTTGACAAGCTTAGTATTAATTTGAATGAGCTTAGATAGTAGCCATATGGCTATTGCATTTGCTACAAGTATTCACTTAACCCTGTTTCTAATTTTACTTGTTCAGTTTTAATTTTGCAATTTTAGATTTTTATGATATAAAATGTCTCAACCTTTAAAAAAAACATTTATTTCAAACTCTGGAAGGTAAACTGTTCTCCATTACAGTGTTTCCCCAAAGTACATTCCACAAAACTCCAGGTATATAAGATGCAATAAGGAAAAACTATTTCAAGGGTCAAAGAAATATGGAAAATATCCCTGTATCTAGTCTGACAAATGTGAAATCAACATGTCTCAATTTGTTTTATCCAATGGTTCTCTAATGAATTTGACAATGGAACCAATTTTGCTTGTAACCCTTATCAACATCTCAGCAATTCAGTGGTCCATGGAACACTTTGGGATATGATACTCTACAGAGTTTTAAGAGGCTTTTTTTATTCAGGATTTAACATTTTATTTTTTTTTTCAACGTTTATTTATTTTGGGGACAGAGAGAGACAGAGCATGAACGGGGGAGGGGCAGAGAGAGAGGGAGACACAGAATGTGAAACAGGCTCCAGGCTCTGAGCCATCAGCCCAGAGCCTGACGCGGGTCTCGAACTCACAGACCGCGAGATCGTGACCTGGCTGAAGTCGGACGCTCAACCGACTGCGCCACCCAGGCGCCCCTTTTTTTTTTTTTTTTTTTTTTTTTTTTTTGGGATTTAACATTTTAAAATGCATTTGACCCCTGAATGCATCCGAAGTTCATTTCGTTATGTGGTACTATTAAGTAATTAAATGATTGTTCCTTTTCTTTGTCCTCTCTTATTGTTTTAAGCAAGTCACTTATCAAATACCAAGTCTGGAGAGAATTACAAAAGGGGATTTTGTTCCTGTCAGAAAATATTAACATTAAAAATGGGATTTATTTCTCCAGTGTGGGACTGATGTTAATGGCTTTGTACTTGAAGCAACTCCTTGGGACAACTGATTAAATCTACCAATTTATATTAAGCCTGGTGGTAATTTTCTTGGTGATTTTCACAAGGCTGTGTCAAGTCCTTCTGGAACTTTGAGTTATTTGGGCCAGAAGCTCCCAAACATGGTCTTGAGATGTGATTAGGGAGAACAGAGTAGAGAAGTGGGGGCTATCTCACCTAAACAATAAAGGAAATGACATGTCTCAAGTTTTAAGTTCTTTTTCCAAATACAATTAAATTGACCCTAGAACATTGGAGTTTATGCTGGCATCCACCTTAGTCCTTCCAGTTCCCAACTATAACCCCCTTTCTACGTCAGACTGCTGTTGAGAGGTGCCAAAGTCCTTTTGGAGCCCAAAAGAACATTATTTGATGTTCTAAAGTATCAAAAGGAATAAGAATGCTCTCCCTCCTCTTTTGTCTTAAACAAGATTTTTATATCTTATAATCGATGATTATGACTATGGTAATGACAATATATGTGAAAATTCTCCACATTTAGGAAAGCCACCAAACATAGATTAATCTAACTCTAACTTTCTTTTTAAATGAGAAATCTCTCAGATCTTGTCTCCCTAAGATCTACCCATACTGTTTTCAAATTATGGGGAGACAGTGTCCTTAGGTACAAGAGTGAGAACCTGGCTCTTCACTTAAACCCATGAGTCTTTCACTTCTACAGTTGGAAAGCAAAAATGCACTATTTATTGATTTCTGGCTACAAAGTAGATTGCATCTGTTGGGCAGAATGCTGGGAGTTTTACCTTTTCCTTCATTATCAACTATACTCATGTCAGCCTTTGCCTTGGCTAATATTTCCATGGACAATTCATGACCCAGTTCTGCAGCCCTCATTGTCGGAGTACAGCCCATCTTGTCTTGCACATCAGGATGAGCACCAAGGCTAAGGAGAAAGCTGACCATATCAGTGTCATTGGAAATTGAGGCTAAGTGCAGAGCACTGTGTCCATTGACCGGTTCTGTAAAATTGATTAGTTCAGGGTATCCAAGCCTGATCAACTTCTCTATCTGCTTCATGTCTTTGTTCCGAACACACTGAAGAACTTTGTAGATCTGCAAGTTCTCAAGTCTCTTATCTGCTAAAGCCATACTCGACCACCTTCTTGAAGATGCTTTTCTGGACCAAAACAAAACTATAGCAACAAAAACAGAAACATACAAAACTCAAAGTTAATTTTGTCATCTGTATTTTGATTAGATAGTAATATTTTATACCTTCCCTTCTGAGAAGAGAGGCTGTTTCTTACGAAATGATATTACCATAGTTTATGGCAACTGACTTCATGAGAGTATAAATTACACATAAATACAAAGGACATACAGTTAGCATAAAGTTAAAGTATTTCAAAACAAATCTTTCATCCTAATTAATATCAGCCTTGCTGTGAAGCTTTCTTGTTAATTTAATTTCTTGTCTCATTTAATCTTCCTTCCTTGACACAGCCTCCCCATTTTAGCCACAAAGAAAGTAAGGCTAACAAAAGTGCCAAGGTAAGGTTTCATTTTCCCACTACATGGCTCTGTTACCAGCATGCCCCTCAACAGAGACCACACAGGTTTTAGCAGTTAACAAGTGTTAAAAAAAGAACATGTAGAATTTTGAGGTGCTTATCATAAGGAGGAATCTACTGGATTCTGTGAGATACCAAATGTGATTACTGTGTCATCTTACATGGGAATGAGGTAGGTGAACGGTTGAGAGAGAACTGTAATTTTCATAAATAATCCCACTGTTACATTGTAATGAGCATTCTAATATGAAATGTTATCTCCTTTCATTTATGGAAAAACAATATTTTCAGTTGAGTCAGGCTAGGTAGACCCAGCTTGCTTTTCTTTCCTCACTTTTTCTGGGAAAAGAACCCCATTATCATATTGGAAATCCATTCCAGATCATATAGTACTGCTATCCTAGGCCAAGTCATTGCCACAGACTTCTAATTTGTCTCACTGCTTCTACAACAGATCCCCTAGCTTCCTTTCTCTGGTCAGTCCTCAGAAACATCTTTTAAACATGTATCAGATAAAGTCAAGCAACCTTTGACCCCCAGCATTTTGTATGGATCTGCCCCTTCCATCCCCTATGATAGCAATGAGTCAAAGACCAAGGCTTAGTCTGTGTGTGAGCACATGCTCAGGAAGGACATCAGCCAGTCAGCATCCTAAGGGACCCTTCTGCCAGAACTATATGGACAGACTACTGTGTGCTGATGCTGTTAAGCAGTAGGGTGGGGTGCTGCAGTTGCAGGAACCATGTTGGCAGTCAGGGAGAGTGTGCAGAGACTGAGACTTAGGGCAGAGGTTGGGACTCAGTTGTGCCAGAATTCACCCACCACTTTAATCCATGCAACATGTTACTTAATGCAGCACTAGCTCAGGGTTGCAGAAGTAAATATCCTCTCCCCACCCCCACCCCCCTTAATTTTGTATAAGCTAGTCAGCTGAGTTTCTGTCCTTTGCAATTGAAAAGATTTCATCTTACTACAAAATCAGAAACTGTATCATCTTTTCTCCCACAAATCTGCTCCCTCACCTATATTCCCTCTGGCAATGAGTTGCACTTTTGAACGCTTGCTCCTCTTTAACTATGTCTCTCTAGGCAACCATAACATCTCCATTGCCTGTTCTTGTCCTACCTCACCACCCACTCTTTATTCTCCTTTGCTGGCTCCCATCTTCTGCCAGAAGCCTGTTGGGGTGACCAGGGCTCCGCCCTCAGGACTCTTGTCTATTCTCACACATTGCCCTGATGGTCTCATCCTGTCTCATGACTTTCATGCCAATTTGAGGTTTCCGAATATTCACTCTCTGACTCTCCCCAGAGCTCCAAAGTGATGTGTCTACCTGTTGACTCTTCATTCTCACAAGGAACTTTAATAGGCATATAAAATATAAAACATCCAAAGCCGAACACTTGATATCACCCTTTCTCCAATTCTCCCCACTTCCAGTAATGGCGTCACCATCCATCTGTCTACTCAGATGAAAATACTCAAAGTTATTCTTCTTTCTTTCCTCACAGGTCCCCTACTCTTTAAATCCACCAGTAAACCCCATAACTCTACCTCCAGAACATATCCTCACATCAATTACCAGTGGTGCTATCCTAGGCCAAACCCTTGTCACAGCTTCTAATCTGTCTCACTGCTTCCTCAGCAGCCCTGCAGAGCCATTCTTTATTCATTACCCAGAAAAAGCTTTGTTAAATGTAGATTAGACAAGCCTCCACCCCCAACATTTTAGTATATATTTTTTTAATGTTTGTTTGTTTGTTTGTTTGTTTATTTATTTATTTATTTATTTATTTATTTATTTTTAACGTTTATTTATTTTTGAGACAGAGAGAGAGACACAGCATGAATGGGGGAGAGGCAGAGAAAGAGGGAGACACAGAATCGGAAGCAGGCTCCAGGATCTGCGCCATCAGCCCAGACCCCGATGCGGGGCTCGAACTCACGGACGCGAGATCGTGACCTGAGCTGAAGTCCGACGCTTAACCGACTGAGCCACCCAGGCGCCCCAATGTTTATTTATTTTTGAGACAGAGAGAGACAGAGCATGAACGGAGGAGGGTCAGGAGAGGGAGACACAGAATCTGAAGCAGGCTCCAGGCTCTGAGCTGTCAGCACAGAGCCCGACGCGGGGCTCGAACTCACGGACCATGAGATCATGACCTCAGCCAAAGTCTGACGCTTAACCGACTGAGCCACCCAGGGACCCCTAATTATTTTTAATATAAAGAAAAATTGAATACCCATATA